TCACTTGCAAAAAACTTAAAAGGCTTGTGAGGCCAAACCAATTGCACAACATTCAAACGTTTTTAAAGTGACAGAAGTTTCAGATTAGATGTGCAGAAATGAAAACAAGTGCACCCAAAAAAAGCTGTAAAATGTAATACAAAGTAATACAAAAATAAACTAAAATAGAAAGTTAGGGCATTTGCTCTGTAACGAGCAACAGGGGAACATAAAACGAATTAATGAATAATCAAGTTAAGTTTTTTCATTATCTACATTTTTCCACATGGTCAAGACTGATATTTAACTTATGATTATTCACTGACGAGCTCGGATTTTTTACAGCAGCCTAAAAGAAATGCTCTAAAGTGCATAACGTTTGAATGAAGATTGGTTCATCATCTCTTTACTCGCCACAGCAGAGTGAAACTCAAATGCACCAACAGCAATTACCAACAACCGCAGAGCTAACAAGGAGAGACTCTATTAAAGACAAACTACAAACACTGTAAACACTGACAAAGATGAGCAGTGAGGGTCTTACCTCTCAGAACTACTCCTGATGGTAGGACGGGGAAAAAAAAGAGGAAGAAAAGAGGATGGATTTGACATGCAGTGATTATGCTAGCAATTAGTAGAAACAGTGTTATGGCAATAGCTGTCAAAGAATCTGTTTGAAATCAAGCCTTTGCCAAACATTTTTGAGTATGTCTGAGATGAGGATCTAAACAGGTATGTGACTGTTTAAAAAAGTTCATAGATAACCTAAGAAAAGTGGACAATGCGCTAAAATAATCCTGTCTGATTTAGTAATAAACATCTGTCACGTGTACAAATTTAAGAAAAACAAAACATAACAACATGAGGTGTTACTCCTGCATATGCTGTATGTACAGGGTAATGTTCGGTAGCCGAGCTGTGACACTAACCTGCTGGTTCTCCTCCTGTTGTAGGGGCTCCTCGGGGCTGTGGAGCTGAATCTGAACCTGCGCCTGGTAGATGAGGAGTGGTCCTTGAAGTACATGCTGCGCTTCCTGGTCTCTCTCGGTTCTACAAAAGAAAAGAAAGCATCCTTCAACAGTGCAAAATGACAAGACAAAAGCAATTCAAGCAATTATTCTAGTTAATCATGATGATGATCCACAGCTCTGAATGGACAGCATACCATCTAGTGGGGCCTGATAGCGGACCACGGTCTTTCGCTGTCTTAAGTCATAGCGTCTTTGGTTTTCTTCTTCCTCATCTTCAGCATCCTCATCATCTTCTTCTTCCTCCTCGTCATCTTCTCCATCTTCCTCCTCCTCTTCATCATCATCATCATCATCATTATCATCCTCATCCCCTCCTGTGAATTCAATGAAAATGTAAAACAAAAATGAAACACCACATGACACTGCTGCTGTCCAAACCTCACTATATGTTGAGATTGATGTTGAGATTAATCCTCCCCTGAAGAAGATAAACTCAGACCAGCATGCCTTCAACTAGAAACGTTCCTGGTGACTAATAAACGTGAAAGAAAATTAACTAACCGACTAGCCTAAAACTAACAAGCCCTTAGATATCAAGTTTTATTTGAGGAGCCTTTAATGGAAAATCTCAAAGCTGCCTAAACAAAAAAACAAGAAGGCAGTTTGTATCCGCAAAATAGCCAACAATAATAGCCCTAACAAAAATTTCAGGTCTTGATTAACAGAATGATGGCATTTTTTTTTTTTTAAACAGTGACTGCAGCTCCATCTGGTGGCAAATTGCTGCATAATATTCAGGACACAAACCCTGCATTGGGTATCAATTCAAATGTTTATAATTAGATTAAACAACTGGTACGTCTGGTACTAAACAGTGACAGTAGCAAGTTGTGCACATTCCCACTGCACACAGTATTCCTAAACTGTGTTCCTAACATTACTAGACTTTAACCATCTCACCTTGGTTCTCTTTCTCAGTTTCTTTAGTCTTCACATTGTTCCTCAGAGACCTTCTCATTCTGCCACTTGTGTACACACTCAGCTGCTCAGAGGAAACAGAAACAAACACTCATCAGTTCGACAGCTCGAAGATGGCTTCACACCGTCAGCTACTAGCTACCCACTCTCCATAAAAACACTACATTACAGAGCACCATGCAGAACTGTGAAGTTTCCTGTGTGGATTATCACCTCTTCCTTAGCGTCTCTATCCCGGTCTCGGTTCCCCAGCCTGCGTCTCATCTTCTGCATGTCGTCCATCTTCTGGAGAACAGCTTCAGCAGTGCTGAGGGACAAAGGAAGAATGGGACATTCATGTCTTATCTAATCCCTCATCAGCCCGCAGTGTATGGAACCGTGTTTGTTAAATACTACTAGAGATGACAGTTTTGCTGAGTGAATTCTGCTGAACTCACTTAGTAATTAGGCGGTCATACAGCACAGACTGGTTGCGGGAACCCAGTTTGTATCTGGTGATTCGAGAGCTGCGACGCACTGAGCGATGATCCTCGTCTTCCTCCTCTTCTTCCTCCACTTCTGGGCTTCGTAGGTTAAAGCGGCTCCTCTTGGGAGTGGATGAGCCTTCCACTTCATCCGGAACATCTGGGATGCAAAACATAAGCTCTCCCAAGTTAGATGTATAGAGACTAATATAGAAATATTAGTTACTCTACACTGCTTTAATTTAAAATCATGGATTCTACAATACATGGTACCTGCTTGCTGCTTGCCATTCGATGCCTTTCCATCTCTCTGCAGCCTGGAAGATTTCCTGACAAATGATGACAAAATAATAATTTTCTTGTGTTATATTGCTGCATTTCATATACATTAAGCACTGATGGAAATCCACTGAGAACTAGATTTTGCATACAGCTGGTGAACTTGGATGACAAAAATATTACAGTTTAAATTGGGCATTGATTCAGTTAGCTTACGAAAATATAAAAATCTCATTTTTATACCCATCAGTCATTTTAGTGAATGGCAGGTATTACACATTTAACACACAACCTTCAAATCTGCAAGTAGAGGCACCAGAGAGCTTGTTAAACAACACGACTAAAAAAATAATCAGTTAACAATGTGAGTGGTATTGCATTACCTGGTACAGCAGCCTCCAACTTTGTCCTCATCAGCAGGGGAGCTGTTCTTGGGTCGCGAGTCCGCAAATGAGACCTCAAATTTAACCTTTTGCCCTCTGGTCCTCAGAGAGTGGTGGAGACCACTGTCCTCCCCCTGTTTCATATCAGCATGTGAGTGACACACAGTGCTGTTATAGTTTACAGAATATGTAGTCGGGAGTTAAAAGCTGCCTGTCCAATGAGTTAGGAAGTCAATCTCATGCTCAGATTAAGTGCAGTTAATGATTAACATTAGAGTGAAAAACTGATGTGCAGAGAGTGCACATCTACTAATCAGTTATCACCTGTGTACTGAAAGGACTAATTTATATATCATTAATTTACATAATTTATCTAGGTCACTTAAATTCCTTCACATGTAGTATCTTATATTTGAGATCACTCTTTAAAACGTGCTCTCACACACACAAACACTAACATGTCTAAGTCCAACTATGTTATGAGCTATAGGTAATTAATTAATTCAAAGCAAATATAGCAAACCGAAGCTCTGACATGAATGCAAAGAGGACTGCTGGGTGGAAGTGATGGTCATATGACTGAACAGCTATAAACTTGCTTTCCTGTGCATTAAACACGATAGTATCTTGGTTTGCTCTAGTAACTAAACTACTATTTGCTCCTCTAGTGTTGCGGCTGACCTCGGTTCCTGCAACTATTTATTTTCCATCAAGCAGATTTAAAAAGTACTTTTGTTATAAAGTAACAGACGGGTCTAAGATAAAGGTCAATGAAGAATTACTGAATGGACAGAAGCCTTATAATCTTTCTACTAACAATACAAACACGCACACGTAACTAACAGTGAGTTTAATTATGTGATATCATACGATGGTGTTATATGATTATGATGCTTAACGGCAAATCAATAAGATGATTTAGTTAAGAAGTCATTTAGACTGTGATAATAAATGATTGTCACGCATGAATAAAAAATAATATGACTATGCTTTTAACTCTTTCGATACATCATGATAGGTAACAAAGCGTCAGTAACTTAGTAATGCAGCGGAGAGGATAGTTTTTAGCCAACTTAGCATGGTAGCTAAACTAGCACAGCAAAGTTGCATTCATAGCAGACTTATCCAACCAACGAACGGTTACTACTTATCTGACCAGCTGTTTCAGTGTGTGTTCTCACATTCGCAATGTTGTTTTCAGGGCTGCTAAAGCTGTCATACGGGGCCCGGGAAGATCGGCTGAGCCGGGCGGACTTTCTCTGCGACGCGGGAAGCAGTGAGAGAAACTCGGAGCTCGTATCCAACTCAATCGTCCTCGTCGGTGTTGTCGCTACCGGCTCGGCTCCGACACTGCCGCTGCTGCGTAGTACCACCATCTTGGCTCTTAAACAACCTTATAATAACATGAACGACGAGCAATAAACTGTCAATCTACATTAAAATGACTGGCGGTTACGGAACCGCCGACACATTACATAAAACGGTATATCCACCAGCTGACGCACACGAGCTCCTTACTAAAGCCTTGATTTCTGGCGCCATAAACGTCATCAGAGGTTATGAGGTAAGCGGCAACGGCCTGCCGCTCGCAAAAATAGACCTCCTAGCTAAATGCAAAGCGGAGTAATAAGATGAACTTTACACGGGTAGTGAAATTAACTGTTAAAGTAGATTTATTTTCATCATGTCGATATTACGGCGGGTTTGAATGGTCGCTGTAGCCACTCTTGGAACAGTCGCAGTATTCGTAAAAACATTAGGAAGCGGAGGGACACACTACAATTTGAAAAAAAGGTGTTCCGGCTCATGTTAGCGCGCGCTCTGCTGTGAAGTACGCGCTCATTTAAGTCCGCAGATATTCAAACGGCTCATTCGCAGTTTGAACATAAAAACACCGCGATAAGGCTGCCATTTCACAACAAAAGCACATACATTAAACACACGGAGTCATCACAAACTCACCGGCTTTTATTTGAATAAGTGACAGATATCAGAAGAGAAAAAAAATACAAACTTTGGAACTGTTTGTAGGCTAAAAAGAAAAAAAAGAGTACATCATGTAAAACTGCTGTACAGGCAATCAGATCCTGACAGTAAAATCTCAGAATCTCCCATTAGATCCTCCCTATGTGCTTCTTTTGTTTATCCTCTTTCCTAGTGGGTTTCAGAGTGGATGAGGAAGAATTAATCAGGGATGCAAATTAAGGCTTCTCCTGGGCTCAAGAAGTCTCACTTACGGTACATTTAAAACCCAAGCCATGTCTAGCAATACCACTTTTGAATAAATCCATGCTCGATCTTAAGTGCCTTTCAAACATTAATGAGCAACAAAAACAGATTTGATGGAAGACTTGAGATTTTACTCATCAGAGTCCACATTCCTTTTCATTTGCACAGTAGCCAACTGTCACATTTCACATCACCAGGGTGTGTTCAACAACAATACCAACTGGTTAAAGATCTGTTATTTGCCACTGGCAGATTTTAGTCAATGCACAACGGCTGCCTCATTACTTTAATGGGTCTGGTCAGCCGGCCTGTTGTGATGGTCAACAGGCCATTTAATTCTGTCATACAAGATAAGAATGCATAATAATAACAACTATGAATATGAAGAAGTTACAGCAGTTTTTTTTCTCCGGTGTTTGGAGAACAGAAGCTGTCTCATCATAAGACAATGGGGCCATATTATCTTTATAATGGATTTACAAAAAAAAAAAAAAGCATCATGAGACAATTGGCTACTGTGCTGGCTTTTGTCTTGAATGTGACCGAGGGGGATGTGTTCAAGCAATGGCTGCCAGGTAGTCTTTCACCTCTGCTGGGGTGAGTCTTTTGAAGCCAGCCTCGTTGCAGATGCCCACCTCAATGTTCTCCTCTGTCATCTGACCCTCAAAACTCTCCTGAAACACAAAGACAAGATGGTTTGAATAACCACCACTAAGGTGGAGTCACTAAGCCGTTTCTGGTTACAAGCTGCATACCTTTAATGTCAGGATGGCTGTGTGGATGGCGTCTTCTAATTCCAAGTCATTGTTATACCTGAGGAAGGAAAACAAAGTGGTCAAACCCTTGAACTATTGAAACAATAGACCCCTTTCACAGCAGCTCCTTTTTGCATTAAATGGTGCTGTGTGTTAATGGTTCTCTATTCAAGTACAGAGCCTTTAAAATGCATTTACCCAGTCTTCATTTTCAAAATAGACAATTTAAAGTAGGTCAACAGTCTAAATTCAAACTGTGTGAAGAGCTTATTGGTTACCACTCATTCAAACTGCTTTATAATAAACCACAAATGAGATCTAGCACTCTAAACACAGTTTACACATGATCATTGAGACAGCTACAGTAAATACACAGAGCTCTTACTGTGGGAGTTTGGCCACCGAGCACCAAATACATCCAGTACAAAATATCAAGCTCAGTCCATGGAACAGAAAATCACTGAATTTTAATTAAATGTGACTTTATAAATGGGACCTATAATTCTAATTTCCAACAATATATTTTATTGTGCGGCATCCCTTAAGTTGATGTGAAAGGCAACTTACTTATCTTATGGAGCCCTTCAGATTTCATATAAATGATGCATCTATCCCACTGGTTAGTGGACTTCCAGCACTTCTTATTTATGTTCTTGAGTTTGGACTTTATGCATTGCCATCTACTATACTCTGAATATGTATCATTCTTTCATTAAAAATGAGGCTCAAACTGTGTTACTAAGGCCATAAACTACTTAAGATTTTTTTTAACAAGATAATTCAAGTGAGTTGTATGGCCATCCTCTCAGACTTCTAATTTAACAGAGGTCGCCCTCTGCAGGTTTAAGTCACTTTGGCACTGAATTCACTTTTCAGAACCATCTTTCAACTCAAAAACAACCTGTTTTAGCCAAACCGCACCTTTGTAAAGGCTTATTTTTTTCTAACAGGCCAATATCTGGAAGCCTGCAGAGCGTCAGTGCTTTTGAGCACTAATGTACATAAGCGCATAAGTACTAAAGTTGGCCTTAAGCAAACAATCATACAGAAAAACTGTGACAGAATCAGACGTAATATATATTCCTTATAAGTATTATATAAACATGCAACAATTTAGTAATATGAATGAAAACAGGGAAATAATGAGTTACTCATTTACGTGTACCTTTTTTCAAGGAATGTTTTTCCATTAACATAGTTCTTCCCCATGGCTGTGGCTTTCCATGCGAAATATGCACCCTGCCAATCACAAACAGAATAAAAAAAAACCTTTAGGCTAGCAGGATGACCTGCAAAAGCATTTTTAAAAGCACAAGCAATATTTAATCCTGAGCTGTAGGCAGCAGTGCTGAGAACTAGAAGAACGTACAGAAGGGTCCGACTGGAACAAGTAGGGCTGGTCTTCATCCCATCCAGCTATCAGCAGAGACACACCGAATGGACGCACTCCACTAGGGATGGAGGGGTGAAAAAAAGAGAAATATTACACGTCACTAATTAATTTCTCTCTAAAGACCTCGAAACTGTCAAGCAAAATCAGTAACACATTAACACGTCTTTTAAAGTGGACTGAATTTTGAGAAAATATCACAGCAATGCAAAACAAATTCTACCCCTAAAGCATGTCACTAGTAAACAGCAGTGTGTCTACTTTTGTGTGTGTGTGTGTGTGTGTGTGTGTGTATGTGTGTGTGTGTATGTGTGTGTGTGTTTGTTTTGTTTTTTTAAGTATATACCCACCCAGACTGTGTGTACTCCTGCATCACAGAGGCCACCCTCTGGACAAGCTGGCCTGTGGGAATGGGCTCCTGGTAAACCAGGAAGTACTGTTGTGCCAACTTGCGGGCTCGCCGCACTAAAACCCTGCCAACATGACACACTCATTATTTTTCTGCAATTAGCTTTCAGTTGTCATTTCAGTTGCCTAACAAAATGTCACACTATAGTCTGCAAAGCCGTTGGCAACACTCACCGGTAGTCAGGCCCCATGCCGCTGTAGACCATTCCTATGTGTTTAGTGATGGGCTCCACTTTATGGACGCTCTGTTCATCATACAGTATGGACTTCTGTTTTTTCTCTGTTGCCAAGACAACGCCATTGGAAGCTGGAAATCAAGAGTCACGCAGTTATTGAAGAATATGCGTTTCTAACCAATTTCAACTCTGCTTGAATGTGCAGAGCTTTCAAGTATGCTTTGCGTCGCTAACATGTTGACAGATTCACTCTCAAAGCTACAGTCGAGTTCTGGACTCACCTTTGATGCCCACCGAGGGGGCTCCGGCTGCTACAGCTGCCAGAGCATACTCGATCTGTACCAGCTTACCGGAGGGGCTGCAAGCGAAAAAAAAAACACAACAAGCTGTTTCACTATGTGTTAAAGTCAGATAAACGATTGGAAATCCGAATTAGCGTATTGTAACTAACAGAGACGAAACTGAAAGTAAAATCTAAAACAACTGACTCATTTAAGCTAATTCGACGCTTTGCCGAAATAATCTCTAAATATTTAGCATTCAAAACCAAGCCGTTCATTTCAGTCTGCTCGGGTATTGTTCCGCATTAAAACAGGTGAGCTTTTGTTATGGGTTTGAACAAAGTTTATCTTTTCGAATGTTCAGTTTGGAAAAACTGTTAGCCAACATGCTAATAGGCGATGTTAGCCGATTCATTATCCGGCAATGACAGTGCATCAACTCCAGCGGCTCCAAAACCTCATCTACGTTTTGAAATAAAAAGTAATGCATACATGTGATGACGCTACTGCCACAAAGCAATTGTTACACGCCATAAGCTTCGATGCAGCTACTCAATTTTATCCATATTTTGACAAAGTTTACCTAAATGTGGTGAGAGAGAAACTGTAACCACGTTCCGCCATCTTGAGCTTCTTCTTCTTCTCTGCTGCTCTGTAGAGCTCCAAGTGCGATCACGAGTGAACATCGCCACCTGTGAAGATTGTGTGTTCGATCAATATTATTTTATGACCGTTTTTTATCATTTTTACTTTGCATTTCATTAAACTTGGGAGTTTAGTCATTTCCACTGTTTTGAAAAAAATATTTTTCTTAAGTATATATTATTCTTTAAAATAAAATAAAATACATATTTACATATTTTGAACTGAGTGTAGATATTTGTGTGATTACATATCATTATGGTTAACTAAAACTAAAAACTAAAACTAGACTTCTGAATAAAAAAATTAAATGAACTCAGATCATTTTGTGTCCGTTAGGGTAACTAAATTAACATAAAACTAAAGGTTTTATTTATAGAAAATACTTAGTTTTAGTATTTGTTAATTTGGTAAAAATCGTATTACAAGTTGCCTGATGCGGCATTGGATGGTGTGTTTATTGAAACTCTGGATTTCTACTTTTAGAAGGTTCTATGTTTTGTTTTTTATAATAAATTGACTGATTTTCCTAAACCTTGTCTTTGACACATGCCCAGTATATGGTGGCTTTCTCCACCAAGCTTGTATTATGTCACAAAGATTACATAAATATAAACCAGAATTCTCTAGTCTGTGCTTTAAATGTGGCATTGAAGAGGATTCATTCCTGCACAGTACGTGGTTTTGCATAAAGGTAAACACATTCTGGCAAAAATGTCAAAACTTTTAGAGTTACTCTTTTCTTTAGATCCTCAAATATGTTTATTAGGAGACTTTACAAATGTTAGTACACTATTAAGAAAAAGCCCACAGAAGTTCCTGGAATTGGCACTATGCATTGTCAAAAAGTGTAAACCATTACCCGGAAAGCTGGAAAGCTGCCTATTTTTAGATTGATCTCAGAGATGAATAGTTGTATTCCACTTGAAAACATCACCTACACTCATCTTTATTTTCGTTGTCGTTGTTTCTCCTCTTCTGTGTGCGTGGGTTTAGAGGTGTGTTTTGTTCATGCTTCGCTAAGTGGAAAATCGGAAAGTAAAGTATTGCAAAAAAACGATCACAACTAAAAGTAAAACTAATAGAAACGAAATTAAAACTAAACATTTTAAAACAATAAAAAAAGCTTAAACAAGAACATTAACTCTGGATACTAAACTGAACTAAATAGCAAAAATATAGCTATAGCAAAAAACAAAAAACAGCTGGAAAGCTTGAACTCAAATTTCCACACAAATCTAAAATATGCACACAAGGATTGAGACGCAGTTTTGCTACAATAAAAGCTCCACGGTTCACCGCTAGATGGCAGCAGCGTACAAAATCTTTCCTTTTGTGTGCCGGAAATTAAACAGACGAAGTGCAGCTTGGCGTCGCTGTTTTACGACGTAGGGATCCTCAGTGACCGTGAGCTGTTTGACATGCTGGGAGAAGAGGAAGCGTGTTGGTAACAAAAATGATGAATTTATCCGCGTTAATTCACAGCCTCAGGTGCTCTCTGCTGCGCATTGAGAGTAGACTGTTGCAGGCGGTCGGACTAGAAGCACAGTTGGGTGAGTGAGCTGCTGCTAATAGCCTCTTTTTACAATGGGGTCATTCACACAAACATACTCATTAAAGACATTTTTCATTTAATACCACCAGTCCGTGTCGTGTTGCTGTTTCGGTGGAGTTAAAGTCGTAGTCATTCCTGTAACGTTGTTTCCTTCTGCGTGCAGCTCCGGGTCTGGCTGTGAACGGCCCCAGCCTCCTGCCTCAGCTCGACCAGGAGCAGCAGCTGGAGGAGCAGCAGAGCCCGGAGCAGCAACCCGGCCTCTTGGACAGCATCATGTGGATGGCAGCACCCAAGAAGAGGCGCACAATCGAGGTCAACCGCACCAGGAGGAGAGCTGAGAGCAAACTTATAAAAGTCAAGGTACGCTCCGCAGTGACTGGATGATCTCATTGGGTCATTTCAACCTTTAAACCAAATTATAGTTTCATCTGTCTTACTGGTACCTAATTTTACTGCAAAGAGGGGTTTGATTTGTGGCAAATAAACCATTCAGTACGACGAGTCACTGGTAATATTTAGGATTTAAGGAGAGCACCTCGTTCATTAACGTTGGGTCCAGCTGGAGTGACTTCCATAGATCAGAGTACGCAGATTGAAATGAAAGTGTACTTTGTGAAAGATACTAATATTTTAAACTGAATCCAAAATCTTTCTAGGAGGCAAACATTTTAGCTTAGCATTGGCACGGACCTATATAGGCAATTCTTCTAAAGCATCATCTAATTTAGCTGCAAAGTCAGTGAACTTTGGCCCCATAATACAGTATTTGAAGTATTTTTCCTTCGGAAATTATTTTTTTCTCCCAAAGATTTTTATTTATACTCCTTCAATTGCTGTTTCTCCTCTTGAATGTGTCTGATCAAACTATCTAAACAGATTCAATTACGGAGAAATGAGATTATTTTTATTTTACTTTAGTTTCATGCTTGCAAGACCTGTGGCATCCCCTGGGTCAGTCCTCATACACTCCCAGGTTAAAATGTTAATTCTTGTAAGCCTATTTTTCGACTCCCTTAGGGCAAAAATCCTTGAGTGAGGAATTTTCTTTGGTCTGAACTCAATTTGTACACTTTTTAAAACACCGTTTCATAGAAATTTCGAACAGAATAAAATGATATTTTGTATTGGAGCGCTGAGAGTTGAGCTTCACTTAGACATCACTATGAAAACAAAAAATAACACTATTCAGCTCTACAACTGTGTAATAGAAGGGAGCGTTGTGACCATGTCACATGTGATAAGAAGCTGAACGAGTCACACTAATGTCAAGTGGCCACCTTCAATGTGTGTGTGGTGCAGCTCTCCTGTTTGCTGGACAGAAAGAAAGAAAAATAAAACTAGCTTTATTTTAAAGTGATACCTAACCCCAGTGATGTGTAAATGCTACCATTGATGTATATAAGTAGTGTTTACTAAGACGAGACCACAAAGTGTGGTGCAGGAATATCAAAGATGATCAGAAACATTTAGAGAAGCAGTCGCTTGCATCCATTGACCCCGTTTGCTTTCCCCTGCACCCCTCTCTTCCTCAGAACAACATCGAGCCGTGTCCAGAGTGTGGCCACTTGAAACAGAAACACATCCTGTGTGGCTTCTGTTACGCTAAGGTGTGCAAGGAGACCAGTATGATTCGTCATCAGATTCAAGCCATGGAAGGAGGCCCATTGAAGGCCCCCACTGTGGAGACTGTGGTCTTATATGAGGGGGAAATCCCAAAGGAGCAGGACAAAGACAAGAGGATAGTGGAGAGGCCCAGGAAAAGGCCTGCATGGTTCAACTACTGAAGCTGTGTGTGACATATACCACGACAAACAGCATATTTCAGTCTCTCTGGGTCAGTTTTTCTTCCACAAATTAAGAATTAGTTTGTTCAGAACTGATCCAGAGAGCTTAAACATCAGAAACGTGTTTCCAGTAGAAAATATACCTTTGGAGTTGATGATATCATAGTTCAGTTTTTCTAAAAGCCAAGACTGTCAGATTATGGACATAATTCAACTGCATAATACTTTTGATGGTTTGACAATAAATTCCTTATTTGAAATAATCTGCTTTGGGTGAAGGTGAATGACTTCTTCTGCTTCATGAAACAGGAAGAAACTTCCAGACTGTTTATGAAACGTTCTCCAGTCTTCTGAGCATTGGAGGGACGCCATTAATTCTTAAAAAAATGAACATATTCTAGTTTATCAAATCCCATTTAAACCCTGTCGTGTGACCTCTCTCCTTAAAGTAGGATGAAAATGAACATATGCGATCACAATTATTAGTGACGAGAGGTGCTTTCACTATAAATGGAATAATGACTCAGAGTCTGATGTTTTTAAAATCTGGAACACTTAACATCAAACCATGAGTGTCACTGTCATGTTTACTGCTTTCTAATGCTTATCAGAGTCTGGCTGCACAATTGATTGTGAAAAAAAACTGTCGGTTAACAGGATCAGACACTGGTGTGTACAAACAAGCAAGCAACGTAGCTTCAGCCACAACTTCCTTTAATCAGGATTCGGCATTAAACCAAAGTCATGTAACGGTGGCTCATGTGTCGCTGGAGTAGACTGTTTTTGCTGGGATGAGTCCAGCATACCTTCCACTGCCTCAGTGTCCCTGTGATTCAGTTGCCCCCTCATAGTTTGATAAGACCGGGCTTATCAGTGTTCCACTGAAATTACTTTGGTTTACTTGGTTTGCACAGCGCTGTAATCTTGCTTGTTATGTTCTTACCAAATTCTTTAGCAAGAATTTAGTATATTTTTAAACAAATGCTTTCACTTGCCTTTTAATTAAGGCTGCCAAAAATATTTTAACCTTAAATATTTTGTAACATCTGCAGACATTTGTATGCAATCCATCAAATTAATCATTAACTGTATTTGTGTTATCTCTCTTGCTTTATCAAATGAATGATACCTAAATTGCAGGTGTACAAAGGTGGTGAACCCCTGAACCGTAAGTGTACAAACGTATAAAAAATGATTTATTATTGGCAAGTGTGTTTTATCAGCACTGTTTCAGTATTTTGCCTATCATGCTAATTTCTAACACTTTATCTTCATTGAACTATTCTAGAGCAGCTTGAATTAAAGCTCAGAATAATCCTTATTTACCTCTTAGCTCCCCTTCCTTTAAAGCTAGATTTCTTTTGATTGGCTGCCCCTCATTAGCACAAAGTTTGAGCAGCAGGTGGGAGGGGCTTCTGTGCTCACAGTCAGAGCTGTGTGTGCATGAAATGGCAATATTAGAAAAAAATCCCCTCACACTGACCATCATGCAGATCCCAAACACAACAATTACAATCCCATTTTCAGAAAAGTTGGGAAGCTGTGTAATATGTAAATTAAAAAGAAAAATAATACAATGATTTGGAAACCTCATGAATCCATTTTTATTCACAATAGAGCCTAGAAAACATTTAATCTGAGCTATTTTAATGCTTCATGAGCAATAGTAGCTAATTTTTAATTTAAAGGCAGCAACATGTCTCAAAGA